TTTTGGGGTCCCCGTGGGTGTTTTTGGGGTCCCCGTGGGTGTTTTTGGGGTCCCTGTGGATATTTTGGGGTCCCTGTGGGTGTTTTTGGGGTCCCTGTGGGTGTTTTTGGGGTCCCGTGGGTGTTTTGGGGTCGCAGTGGGGCTGGGATTTCAAGGGGTTTTTTTGGTATTTTGGGGTTTTTCTGGTGGTGCTTGGGGGGTTCTCAGGGGTCCCCTGGGGGGATCCCAACCCCGGTGACCCCACTGTCACCCCATTGTCACCCCACTGTCACCCCACTGTCACCCCACTGTCACCCCCCCTTTCCCTCGCAGCCCCCAGGACGCCCCAGGACAGGTGAGTGGGGGAGGGGCCCGGGGGTGTCCCCATGTCCCCAAATCCCTCCTTGAGGCCACCCCATTGTCCCCCCTGTCCCCACAGGACCCCCCCGCTGTCCCCCGAGGAGGGGGAGGTGCTCTACACCCGCGTGGTGCCCAGCGAGAGGGCAGCGGGTGAGTGCGGCCTGGGGACGGGGACACCGGGGGTGGCACCGGGGGTGGCACTGGGTCCCCAAGTGCCACCCCCAGGGGGCTGCCAGGTCCCCAAATGCCACCCAGGGGACAGCGGTGACATCGAGGAGAACGTGCTGTGACCCTGGGTGACCCTCGGTGGCACTGGGTGGCACCGGGTGACACCGGGTGGCACTGGGGGTGACACTGGGTGGCACCGGGTGTGGCACTGGGGGTGACTCTGGGTGACCCTGGGTGGCACTGGGGGTGGCACTGGGGGTGGCACTGGGGGTGACACTGGGTGGCACTGGGTCCCCAAATGCCACCCCCAGGGAGCTGCCAGGTCCCCAAATGCCACCCAGGGGACAGCGGTGACATCGAGGAGAACGTGCTGTGACATTGGGGGTGACACCGGGTGGCACCGGGTGACCCTGGGTGGCACTGGGGGTGACCCTGGGTGACACTGGGTGGCACCGGGTGACAGCGGGTGGCACTGGGGGTGACACTGGGTGGCACAGGGTGTGGCACAGGGTCCCCAAATGCCACCCAGGGGACAGGGGGTAAGTGAGGGGTTGGGGACAGGGACGTGGCACCCTTGGGTGGCAGCGGTGTCTCCTGTAGGGTCCCCAAGTGCCACCCACCAGGTGACCTACGCGGAGCTGCCAGGACGACAGTGGCACCCAGGGGACAGCGGTGACTACGAGAACGTGCTGTGACACTGGGTGGCACTCAGGGGTGGCACTCGGGGGTGGCACTGGGTCCCCTGATGCCACCCAGGGGACAGCGGTGACATCTGCGAGAACGTGCTGTGACATTGGGTGGCACTGGGTGACACTTGGTCTCCAAGTGCCACCCCCTCAGGGAACTGCCAAGTCCTCAGATGCCACCCAGGGGACAGCGGTGACATCCAGGAGAATGTCCTGTGACACTGGGTGGCACTGGGGACACTGGGGACACTCACACACGTTTGACTCCTGTGGGTGCCCACCCTGCCCGTGGCCATCGGGACTTGTCCCTGTCCCCTCCCCGTGGCTCTGTCCCCTCCCTGTGACCACCAGGACCCGTCCCTGTCCCTGTCCCTGTCCCTGTCCCTGTCCCTGTCCCTTCCTCGTGGCCACCTGTCCCTGTCCCTGTCCCCTCCCCGTGTCGCTGTCCCCTCCTCGTGTCCCTGTCTCCTTCCCGTGTCCCTGTTCCCTCCGTGTGGCCACCAGGACCTGTCCCTGTCCCCTCCCCATGTCCCTGTCCCCTCCCCGTGTCCCTGTCCCCTCCTCGTGGCCACGAGGACCTGTCCCTGTCCCCTCCCCATGTCGCTGTCCCCTCCCCGTGGCTCTGTCCCCTCCGTGTGGCCACCAGGACCCGTCCCTGTCCCCTCCCCATGTCCCTGTCCCCTCCCCGTGTCCCTGTCCCCTCCCCATGTCCCTGTCCCTTCCCCGTGTCCCTGTCCCTTCCCCGTGTCCCTGTCCCCTCCCCGTGTCCCTGTACCCCCCCCGGGGCCCTCTCCCCTCCCCGTGGCTCTGTCCCCTCCGTGTGGCCACCAGGACCCGTCCCTGTTCCCTCCGTGTGGCCACCAGGACCTGTCCCTGTCCCTTCCCCGTGTCCTTGTCCCCTCCCCGTGTCCCTGTCCCCTCCCCGTGTCCCTGTCCCCTCCCCGTGTCCCTGTCCCTTCCCCGTGTCCCTGTCCCCTCCCCGTGTCCCTGTCCCCTCCCCGTGTCCCTGTCCCCTCCCCGTGTCCCCTGAGCCGCAGGGATTTGGGAGAACCCCAAAGCGGCCGCCGGGAGCTGCCGGGGGGACCTGGGGACATCCCGGGGGGGACACTCGGGGGTCCCGGTGGGGCAGAGCCCCCCCCGCAGCCCCGGAGCAGGAGGCTCCAGAAGGGATTTTCACCTTTCCCTTCTCGTGTTTTTGTAATAAATTCAATTAATTAATAATCGATTCATTAATTAATGCCCGCCACCCTTCCCTGCCCCAACCCCGCGCCCCCCGGGGTGCTCCTGGGTTGGGGAGGGGGATCCCAAGGGGGTCCTGGGGGTTTTGGGGGGCTACGGGATCGATTCCGACCCCCCCATTCCCCTTTCTGGAGCTTTTTCCTCACTTTTTGTCCCCAGCGGGGACACGAGGGGGACGTGGGGAGGGGACGGCCACTGGACCCCCCACCCCAGGGGTCACTCCGGCCGCGGGGACCCGCCGAGGACACGGGGCACGGGCGGTCCCGGGGGTGATCGGTACCGTGGGGGGCTGAGACCCCAAAATCTGGGGTGCCGGGACTCTGGGACCCCAAAATCTGGGATCCTGGGACAAAGACCCAGAAATTTGGGATGCCGGGATTCTGGGACTCCAAAATCTGGGATGCCGGGACAAAGACCCCAAAATCTGGGGTGCCGAGACTCTGGGACCCCAAAATCTGGGGTGCCGGGACAAGGACCCCGAAATCGGGGACTCTGGGGCCTCAACATCTGGGAATTCAGGGCGCAGGACCCCCAGAATTCGGGATGGGGCTCCCAGTGACGGCTCCTGGTTCACGGAGAGGGCCCTGCCGCTGTTCCCGGTCCCAGATCCCGGTCACTCTTCCCAGTCCATGTTCCCAATGTCTGTTCCCGTCGCTGTTCCCGGTTCTGATCCCTGTTCCCGGTTCTGATCCCTGTTCCCGGTTCTGATCCCTGTTCCCGGTTCTGATCCCTGTTCCCGGTTCTGATCCCTGTTCCCAATGTCTGTTCCCAGTTCTGATCCCTGTTCCCGGTTCTGATCCCTGTTCCCGTCACTGTTCCCAATGTCTGTTCCCGGTTCTGATCCCCGTTCCCGGTTCTGATCCCTGTTCCCAATGTCTGTTCCCAGTTCTGATCCCTGTTCCCGGTTCTGATCCCTGTTCCCGGTTCTGATCCCTGTTCCCAATGTCTGTTCCCGGTTCTGATCCCTGTTCCCAATGTCTGTTCCCGGTTCTGATCCCTGTTCCCGGTTCTGATCCCTGTTCCCGTCACTGTTCCCAATGTCTGTTCCCGGTTCTGATCCCTGTTCCCAATGTCTGTTCCCGGTTCTGATCCCTGTTCCCGGTTCTGATCCCTGTTCCCGTCACTGTTCCCAATGTCTGTTCCCGGTTCTGATCCCTGTTCCCAATGTCTGTTCCCGGTTCTGATCCCTGTTCCCGGTTCTGATCCCTGTTCCCGTCACTGTTCCCAATGTCTGTTCCCGGTTCTGATCCCTGTTCCCAATGTCTGTTCCCGGTTCTGATCCCTGTTCCCGGTTCTGATCCCTGTTCCCGTCACTGTTCCCAATGTCTGTTCCCGGTTCTGATCCCTGTTCCCGTCACTGTTCCCAGTTCTGATCCCTGTTCCCGGTTCTGATCCCTGTTCCCGTCACTGTTCCCAATGTCTGTTCCCGGTTCTGATCCCTGTTCCCAATGTCTGTTCCCGATTCTGATCCCTGTTCCCGTCACTGTTCCCGATTCTGATCCCTGTTCCCGTCACTGTTCCCGGTTCTGATCCCTGTTCCCGTCACTGTTCCCGGTTCTGATCCCCGTTCCCGGTTCTGATCCCTGTTCCCGTCACTGTTCCCGGTTCTGATCCCTGTTCCCGGTTCTGATCCCTGTTCCCAATGTCTGTTCCCGGTTCTGATCCCTGTTCCCGTCACTGTTTCTGATGCCGGTTCTTGTTCCCGTTCCCGGTTCCCTGTCCCCGTTCCCAGTCCTTGTCTCCCATCCCGGTCCCCGATCCCTCTTTGCCCCCGTTCCCGGTTCCTGTTTCTGTTCCTGGTTCTTGATCCCGGTTCCTGTCCCCAGTCCCCGTTTCCGTTCCCAGTCCCGGTTCCCGATCCCGTTCCCAGCTCCCGATCCCGTTCCCCGTTCCCCTTTCCCAATCCCGATCCCGTTCCCGTTCCCGTTCCCAATGCCGTTCCTGTCCCCGTTCCCAGCTCCCAATCCCGATCCCATTCCCGTTCCCGATCCCGTTCCCGATCCCGTTCCCGATTCCGTTCCGGGTTTTGGGGGCGTGGCCATAGCAGGGGGCGTGTCCCGTGGCGGGAGGGGGCGTGTCCCGCGGCAGCGCCCCCTGGCGGCGGAGGGCGGAGCGGGCCAAGATGGCGGCGGAGCCGGGCCCGGGCTCGGGGCCCGACCCGGAGCTGGAGGAGCTGCTGGAGAGTGAGGGGGGACCGGGGGTCCCGGGGTGAGGGGGGGTCCGGAGGGGCCCGGGGGTCACTGGGGTGCGGGGAGGGG